CTCCTGGAAGTGTCCCCTCCTCCCTCTCAGAGGGGCCCAGACAGAAAGGCTGCTTTTCACGAGAGGCTGAAGGAGCACAACTCTTCCTAGTGGGGTTTCCTTCCCTTCAGTTTATCATTTATGTGTTTAGCTATCAAATGTCAGCAAGGTGTGGCCAGGAGTGAGTGACTGGCAGAGAAATCTCCACTGTCACAGTCTCCCTTAAAACATAGCTGTCTTGTTCCTTTTCTTTTCTAATATTCTTTGGTTATGTGCACATGAGCTCAAGGGAGAGGACAGAAAGCAGAGCTCTCGTTCAGTCCTCTAGGTACCTCAGAACTGAGGTGTTTCCTTTGTCCTAGGCAAAGTCAAAGTGGATCTCTCACTGTCTGTCCTGAGCTACCTACCACAGACTGGTGGCAGCAGTAGCCCCAGTCACAGACAGAGTGGGCGCTGGCTGCTGAGAAGCCGTGTACAGGCCTCCCTGGTGGTCCCTGCTTCCCGACTCACGCTTGCTACCAACTATTTCAAGAATTCTAGCTAAAAACAAATATGCTGTCAGGTTAGCTGGGAGGACACTAGGAAACACTGTCCTCTGTCACCAGGGAAGTGAGGGTATGTGAAAAAAGGTGTGTGTCTGGTCATGGGGACACCAAAGAGTGGTGGGACATCCATCCCCTGGCATCCAGAAGTGGCCTCATGGAGTACAAGTAACCTAAATTGTGGAACTCAGTAGCCTGCTTTTCAGTCCTGGTTTTGCTCCTAATTCATAGGACAGTACTATCATTTTGAAATCACGTTTCTCTTCACCTTTCTAAGGATAGATTCTACTTCATCCCAGCCTTCCTTCAGCTATAGAGTATTATGATTCCTGAATGTAGATGGCATTAGAAGAAAGTCCATTCAGTATTCAGCTTCTGACATTCCAGTTAGAGTTTCCCACCAGAGAGTAGTTCCTGTCTTGGGGTTCCTAAATTCTTTGTTTTGTCTCTTCACCCATTAAAATTCCCCAGCTGGAGCACTCCGTACTCAGAACAGAGCATGCTGCTGCATGTGTGCCCAGCCAGGAGACTCGGGCTCTGGTGTGGATGGGTAGTGGCCTGGCAAAGAAAAGCCACCCCTTCCTCACTCTGGGGACTTGGGGACAGATGAGAGAAGGGGGCCCAAGAATGCCATACCCTGCATTGCTTGGGTATCTTTTGGGTATTTGGAGAGGGCAACATCCCTTTTCAGTGGAAGGAATTGACGCCCCAGGGCTTCCCTGCCTGTGGGCTGAAGAACCTCCACTTCCCTGGTGCATGAAGTCACAGCAGCCTTGTCCCCACCCCACCCCAGTCACCAACTGGCAAGAGAAGGGAGAGGCAGGTTGCTCAGAAACTGAGCACTTTTGTGTGGAAAAGGCAGAGTGCCTCCAAGGGACTGTTTAGATTATGACATCAGACTGGGTTATAATCCAGAACCCACTGAATTAAAGCGGTTGTTTCCTTACTACACAGAGCATGGGGACCTGCAAGGAGGACCACAGTAGTTGAAGACTGAGTAGGGAAGATTTTTACTGCGTATCTGGGAGTAGTTGGTGTTTTAGGGCCCAGCTGAGCACGTGCTTGCGTGAGGGGGTGTGCCCGGGTAATCTGAGCCTCTGTGTCTCTACAGGCTACAGGAGGCTGTCATAACTGTCGTCTCAACAGCTACATGGTATATCAAAGGGATATGCCTCCCTGGGTCACCTTGGAAATGCAGTAAGTGCTAGGGAATGGGACAGAAGGGAGACATGACAGGCACAGGGCAGTGAGCTCAGCTAGTAAGGGGGACCTCCCTCTTGGTGGAACAATGGAACAGATGCCCATTCTGCTACACAGTAGTCAGAGGTGAGGCATGACTCCTACGGAGAGGCCACACCCCATCGGTCCTTCACTGTGTGGGCTTTGGGTCCCTGGGGTCTTGGAGGCCTTGTGCTCTTGGTGCTGCCCCCAGTTGCCAGCCAACCAAGGCACCGTGCCTGCTGGCAGGACCGTGTTGGAGGCCAGCTTAGTATCTTGGCTGCTCAGTCCCTGCACAACCTCCATACCCTGGTAAGACTATATTATTTTCTTAGCTCAAATTGCCGTTTCCAAGTCATTATTTCTCTATGACGAGAAAACAATATTAGGTCTTATGTAACATCAACCTCAATGAATCTGGAAGTGATCATGGAATGGGTGGATTTTTTTTTCCTCCTTTAAAAAAAAGAGAAAAATAAATTTGAGATTGTTTGCATATGGCTGAGAATATTTATGAACTATTCCCCCTGTTTCCTCATCGCATATTTTACCCAGTGCGTTTGTGTGTGGTACAGAATAAATCTTGATGGGGAGCAGACGCAGAAGGGGGAGAAGGCAGCTAAGGGACCGAAGATCCGTCAAACCCTGGGATGGGGGAATCTTGGGTCTCAGGGTGCTCACCAAGGTCTCTTGCTGTAGTCCCTATTTGTCTGGGGGTGTCTTTTGGAGGGAGAGCTCCAAACACAAACACAGAAGGAATTAGCATCTTTTGGTCCCTCTCTTTCTTTTGTGCCTATCTCACTCTTACCAGAGCAGAAAATATTCAATATGAAGTTTCCTGACTGGGGGACCAGCAGCCAAAGATATCATTCATCTACGCTTCCAGCTTGTGCCCAGGGTGAGGGATGAGTGAGCAGGTGGGTGGGTGCTGGCAGAGAATGCATGGGGGTTACCCATGCCACTGGATGCCAGTGTCTTTGCCATGCTTTGGCCCATGGGTGTGGTATGCCTGTCAACACAGCTTTTCACTAAGGAGGATCCCGGGAAAGCTTAAGGGGCAGGATGAGAGGCATACATTAAACAAGCAAAGGGGGTGATGCTTCAGGATGTGTATTTTCCTCCTCAGAGCTGGCACAATTCTCTGCCACCCTTTGGAAGTTTCAGGAACACACTGACCAGGAGCAGGGGGATGGTACATTGGGGCCTACAAGAACGATGATGCCATCACCTGTCTTCTGGGATAGTCACTCACCCAGTGTCATCAGAGTTAATCCTTAAAGTGATCAAATGAGGGTTTAGGGAACCTTCATTTCCCTATCAAGGTGAGGAAAGTGATGCTCAGTGAGTTGAAGGACTTACCAAGGTCATTCCAGGTCCCTGGATTGGCAGAATTTCTGAGGTCTGAAGCCAACACAGTAAGAACAAATAACAGACTTTAAAAATCAGGTCCAAGGCCTTGGAAGAGCCCCATACAACGAAGGGGACAAGTGGGCAGAGCCCCAGTGAGCCCCCCTGAGTGAGATCAAAATCCAAGCCCAAGTAAGCACTGGGCCACAGCCCCTTCCTATGTTCTTGGCCCCTCTCCAGGGCCCACTCAAGAGGGCAGTAAAATGTGTCTCAGAACGAGCCACAGCTCCAGTCGTGGTTTTAGGCTCTGTCACCAAGTTTCATGGCCACTCCCAGCCCATTGACCAGGGCAGAGACCAGTGCTGTGGCTGCCCAGGGTACCCAGAGACATCTGGAATTAGAACGTACAGTGTCTCCTTTTCCTTCTCCTCCCTAGGATGGGGTCAGCTGGCCAAACTTGACTAACACTCCATTTAATCTTTCTTTTCCCTATTATAACCAAGATTTTGCCATTGTCTTTGTAGCACAATGTGTATTGTCTAGCCTGGTACCCACCCTCGCCCAGACCGCCTGCGGATCTCATCCCAGTCTAGACAGTCACGAAGGGCATGCGGCATTTTCCCAGGCTGCTCACTCTGTCCTCCCAAGCTGGGAACACAAAGCAGATGAGGCTCGCAGTCAGCGCCACCCCAGGGAGAAGGAAGCAAGGAGAGACCGTGTCCAGCCCCCGGCCAGCTGGCATGGAGCCTTCCAGTGAGGGTTCGGGGGATTCATCCCGGGCTGTGCTGTTCCATTGTCTCCAACAAAAGGTGTCCACAGAAAGACACACGCGGCTGGCTGTGAGAAGTAGCTAGGGAGGCACCTCTGGGGAGTTGTGAGCCACAGTGCGGTCCTCTGCCTGCCTGGCTTCTCCTCCAGAGAGTGACACCCCATCCCCTCTGCTGGCCTGCACCCCAGGGCTGAACTCAACCGGAGCCTAGGGTAACAGCTCTCAGGGACAACTGGTGACAGAAGTGCAGTGCCTTGGGAACTGGCTTCCCTCTGGGCTAAGGTGGGGAGATTCTAGGCTAGAGTTTGGTACTGGAATGGATTCTGTGGTTCCTCGTGCAAGAACTCACGGGGGTGATGACACCCTACCCTGTTCTCTGGCGCTTTGCTCAGCTCCTGTATCTAAGCGGTTTGATAGATAGTGACTGGGGTATGACTGTGACAGCCTCCTGCCACACCATCCTCCTGTGGGCATTCGTTCTTTGGGCTCCATCCCCACCAAGTCTCTGAGCAACTGGGAGTACGCTTTTATGGTGACACTGCTACATGGTGCCCTGGCCTTGTCACTAGGGACAGCTCTGGGTTTTAGCAACAGACCCCAAGTAATCTCCAGGTTGCCTCTCAGGTGCTTTGGGCACCCTACAGGGTTGTCCCTGATCCCACCAGTGGTGTCCCCTTCCCCTCTTGGGTTGGGTTAGCCACAGGGAACACTCACCTAGGGTCTGATCCTAGGTGATCCTTTGTTCCAGGACATTTAGACGTTTCCATTGTTTAACCGCCTCTTTTTCCTGCACACTTTACATGCGGCCTTCCTGTAGAATAGGTACAAGAGGCAGATGGGCACAGTAACGTGAAAGTTGAGGCGTGTTGCTGTACCTGCTTGAGATAAATGCTGTGAGCACGTGGTAGGAATCTCAAGGCCTGTGTTTCTGTATTCTGAACCAGGATTTGCCTGTGTTGATTGCATTCTCTAGCATGGGACACCTCATGTGGCCCCAGGTTGAGGGCTCCCAGGTATCCTGGATGGGTGGTAAGCTGGCAGAGTGGAGGACAAGATGCTGAGAAAGCTGCCTTCCTAGGGAACCCTGTGTCTCCATCTGGGGATGAGGGAGTAGAATAAATGCCCTTCTGTTGCTCTTCCTGCAGCCCTCGAGCGGGGCCTGACCAAGGCTCTGAGGAAGCTGGATGACTACCTGAGTGCTCCTCTGCCTGAGGAGATCGACACCAACACACGCGGGGATGATGGCAAGGGCTCCCGGCGCAAGTTCCTCGATGGGGATGAGCTGACCCTGGCAGACTGCAACCTGCTGCCTAAGCTCCACGTGGTCAAAGTAAGAAGGCTCAGGCCACAGGGGCTGCAGGAGGCCCCTGCATGGCTGTGTCAGGGTGGTGCCCACGTGGGGTTGGAGCCAGGAACCACTGCTGGATGGTGGTTGGCTTCTTGGAGCTTGTCTGTGTGTATTAAATGTGTGGCTATTACTCACCTTAGAGATACACAGAGAAAGTGTGGTGTGGAAATGCCTGCCTGTTGTGGGTCTTCCACATAGAAGAGTGAATGCTGGATGCAGTCGGAGTACCCCAAAGGCCCCTTCCTGGAACTGCCCCTCCATAGAGCGCATCTCCATTGATGCAGCCATCTCCCCATCTGTGTCTTTGGTGCACAGACCCTGCATCAGCTCCCTGGAGAGCCACCATCCTCTTCCTCGTGGCCAGCTACATGCCTGGGGAGGCTGTAGGGGCATCAGATAGGGACCTCCCTGACCTTTGGTGATATGGCATAACCCTACACAGTTCTCTGAATTCAAAAAGAAAGAAATTTAAAAATAATCTCCAAATCCAAACTGGTCAGCTTCCTGCTGTTTCTGGAACAGGACTTCGTGCAGGATGGTGGCACGATTCCCAGTGACAGAACCCCCGTGCTGAATGAGCCAGGATTCTCATTAGCACAGCTCTGATTATGACAATACCTCACCTTGGGAGTCCCACAGGTATCCCCTGCCGCCCCTCCACCCTCAGGAGCAGCCCAGAATACTGTGACCCTCCTTTGCCCCTCTGAAGACAGCAGTTATAGCCAAAGCCTCCAGACAAGCCTGTCCGCCACACCCTTCTCTGATGATACCGTTTGTACTACCCTTCTCCAGGAAGAACCAGACCCTACCCTCCGAGGGCGGGGTTTGTGCCTCTTGCAGCTGCAGTCTTGAGCTGCCCGTGCAGACTCTCCTCTACCCAGAGCCCACCCATGCCTGGCTGAAATAGCAGCCGGGCGTGCACTGGTGCTGCCAGCCTCAGTCAGAAACAGGAGCTCATGGGTGAGCACAGTCGTTAATACGAAGACTCCCTGGGCTCAGAGCCAGGCCAACCGTCACTTGTAGGAGTTGCCAAGTGAGGTTACTCTGAGGCTGTTCACTGGTGTGCGGCCCACTCCAGGGTGTGCTATCTTCTCCCTTTTCTGAGGGATACTTAGACCCGAAGGATGTCACTTTTCCATGCTGGAGGGAAGGCTACAGATGTCATCTCTCCTTGCCACCTTTTTACTGATGCTCTGACACATATTAACCACCACCTAAGAATTATCGGTTGAATCAGTTGAACAAACCCTTCTCCCGGTCCAGTGCATCAGCCTGATTCCCCCAGCTGCTTGCAGCCACGAAGGGCCAAGTAAATCCTTGTCCTTGTAGGACTTCGGTAGACCTCTCCTTGGAGCCTTGGGACCAGATGAGGATGGGAGGAAGGAAGCGAGGGCGCCAGGCCTCGTGGCTGTCGCCTTGTGTTTTTGCTGATCCCCCTTATCAGATCCAGGATCCAGCAAGTCTCTCCCTGCACAAGAGCTGAGGGGCAGGGAGCTGAGCAGCCTCCAGTGCAGCCTCAAATGCCAAAGCTTAAGCTGGGCTATGGAGCTGTTTTCATATGAAAGAACAGATTCACAGCATGAGCCTGGACGTCCCTGCGCATCCCAGCTGCACATACACACTCTTGTCTGCTGCCTTTTGGGTCCAGCCCAGGCCAAGGACCAGAGTGTCCCTGGCCCAGGGCGCAACAGGTATCCAAGATGGCAAAGGGTCATCTGGCAACCTGTCCTAGCCCAGCACAGAGACCACGTCACCCTGACACAAATAGGAAGAGAGACCACATACAAACACAAGTGGATTGATACATCACGTCTCCCCACTTTTCAAGCTATAAGCCTGTCCTTTGAGAACTTGGGTCCTTGGCCAACATACACAGCAACCTTGGTTTGATTCCCCAGCATCAGAAAAACAAAAAGCCCTGAAGTATAACCTCTGCATGGACACATTTAAGGCTCTGCTGTTGATCCATGAAGAACGTCTTTTGCTGGAGCTCATTTTCTGTGGGCCCTTGCACACCTGGCCAGGGCATCTCATCCCAGGACCCCGTGGGTTTGCCCCACAGGGAAGGCAGCTACCTCTCAAAGTAACCACAGGGCAGCTATGGGATGGGCATGGGTGTGACTTCCCTTCCCTCCCATCCCAGATGGCCAGCACTTGTCACAGGTCTCTGGTGCTGTCACCTTCAATCACTGGCCTCCCTTCCATGAGGCAGACTTTGTGTGGGCTTCCCACATCACTCATTTTAACTGAGGGGGGACCACCCACATCACTCATTTTAACTGAGGGGGGAGCTCATAAAGAAGTCCCATGTGTAGAAAAATGGGAAGACCCAGGGTTCACCTTTTAGCAGTTACCTACTCTCCATCCTACTAGAATTATAGCTGCAATTGTGCTATATAATGGTTCAGTGTAACAGTCGTGTGTGTGTGTGTGTGTGTGTGTGTGTGTGTGTGTGTATTTTAGGGAAGGGTCTACAGGGTGTTCAGGGCCTCACTACTAGATCGGACTCACAGTGATCCGCTTGTTTACAGCTTCCCAAGAGCTGGGATTACAGGCCCGCACCACCACACCCAGTCTCAATTGCCTTCTCAGCACGAGCCAAGGACGGGGCTGGCATGGCAGGCCCAGGGTTCGAATCCCCTGCCCCTGCACCTGCTTGCAGGTGCTTTAATCCATTAAGCTATTTGGCCAGCCCTAGTGTAACAGTCTTGAGCTTTCTAGGCAATGAGATCTTGCTGGGCAGCATCAATTTCAACACCTCTGTGGGTGCCATTGTATTTATGTACTGTCAGGTATTTACCTACCCACGCATATATCACTGGCCCTTGGTCTTGTACACTGTTCTGTGCCACTTAGGATGCTGTTGTCTAGCAGTATAGTGAAGCCTTTGTCCACATCTATGATTATTTCCTATGGAAAAGTCACTAGTTGTAGAACCACAAGGCAAAAGGGGAAATAGATATAAAACATGGAGGCAGCCCCATCCCTCACATTGCACACATTCAGGGATGGCCCACAGCATGCACAGGGGTCTTCCTGCTGTGCTCATGCCCTGGGCCAGCCCCTGGACACTTGCTGAGGATGGCCTTCTTCCTTTTAAAAAAAAAATCTTATTTATTTATTAATGTATTTGGTACAGGGTCTCACTATGCAGTTTGGACTTGTAGTAATCCTCCTGTTTTCAGCCTTTCTAGCACTAGAATTAAAGGCATGTACCAACATGCCGATCTCTGTGGCTGGCACTGTGCGCCCCTGGTCCTGAGACTGGTATAGCATGCGTTACCAGGATTTGAATCTGAGTCCTTACATTTGCCAGACAGGCGCTTAGACAGTGGCGTTATCTCTACAGCCCCCGCCTTCTTCCTTCACCTGTCTCTGTTCCATCTCTCTGCTCAGGTCGTGGCCAAGAAATACCGCAACTATGACTTCCCTGCTGAGATGACAGGCCTGCGGCGGTACCTCAAGAATGCCTACGCCCGGGACGAGTTCACCAACACCTGCGCAGCCGACAGCGAGATCGAGCTGGCCTACGCTGATGTCGCCAAGCGCCTCAGCCGGCCCTGAGCACAGGCACCCTCACCCTCCTGCTGCTGAGGATGCTGCTTCCCCCATGAGACTGGCTTCACCGACTTCAGAGACCCTACTTCCTCCCTGACGCTGGAACCTTACCAGCAGCCACTCTTGCTTGTTTCCTGGGACCGCAGCCTGTGAGCTATAAGAGTCAACGCTCCCTCTGTCTGGACATGCAGGAAGCCGGCAGGCAGGGAGGAGAGAAACATATGCCTCTGTACCTGCCTGCAGAGCCTAGGTCCATGGATTTGGGGTCGTTCTGGGAAGCCACCTATGGGCGGTCTCAGTCCTTTCTGCCAGCGTCCTAATAGCTCTCAGATGCTTTAGGAAATTCCAGCCCTGTCCCTCCATGCTGAACCTGCAAGCCCAAGGCCCAGGCGCTCTAGTTAGGATGAGTCTATGTCTTGCTAGGGGATGCAGAGGGACTGCGTGGCTCTGGCATTGGGCAGACGTACTCGTTGCCAGTTGCTCACACCTGCAGACGCTCCAAGACCAGACTTCAAACTCCCTCCAGACAAACCCACAATTCTCGACCTTAGCTGACCTTGGCTTTTGCCTGTCTAGGCACAGCCAGGAAGGAAGCTGGTGTGCAGGTCCAAACTGGGGTGGCTGGGATGGGGAGGTGGGGAAGCACTGTTGGTGCCAAAAGGCCCCTGGGGTCTACAGCCATGGGTTTGCGTGCTTGGGAGTGGTTGTGTGGTGAGATTGCTCACCTGGCTGGACTGCGCATCAGCAAGCAGCTTCGGGTCTGTGAGGAAGTGGTGGAGTGGAAGAGAAGAAGTGGAGGAGGTCTCCATGAGGCTCTTTATAAGGCTTGGTGTCCCATGGTCAATGTCACCGACTCTTCTCTCGCAATCTAAGCCTTGAACTTCTTAATGTCACTAACTACTGACTTCATAGTGAACACCCTAGACTGGCCAAAATGCCTTTCTGGTCTCTCTGAGCTGCCCCTGGCCCTGGATCTGCTGGCTTTCCAACTGCTAGATGAAAAAGAGCGGTGATGCTCTTGCTCACTGTCCCCGCAAGGCCATCTTCCTGCTGTCACCTCTTGGTGTGCACTGGACATCTTCAGAGAGGAAATGGAGAGACATGGACTAAACTCCGGCTCCTCTCAGGGGAACCCTGTAGAGAATATTCCCCCATGGCCATCCATCCAGCACCCTACCCCTCTATACTACAGAAAAAGGCCAAGGATCCCCGCCTCAGCCCACTGCTGTGGAGAACAGCATGACCAGTTCCTTAATACAGAAGCACCAATGAATCCTAACCCACACACTCACCCACCCACCACCCACCAAGGAATCTCCAAAGATGCAACCCAGGGCAGGAAGAAGGGATCTCTTCCTGCCCACCCATGAGGAAGAGGATGCAGTCAGCAGGACATCACATGAGCCCACTTCTGCCCCCCACCAAAGGACCTTTCCGCACCTCTGTCTGAAAGGAGACAGGTAGAAGCTGCCCTGTGTGCTGAAAGGAGAAGCCCCAGTCTTGAGGATAAGAGATCAACAACTGTGAAGGGCTCCTAAGTAAGGTGAGCTCCAGGCATCCTCAGAGCCTCCCCTGACCCACGCTGTGATGAAGTGACTTCCAAGTGGGCTGGGCCCTCAAGACCAACCTCATGCTTGACGTCCATGAAGCCTAAAAACAAACCAAGTCAATGCTGTCCCTGGGCGCTCCTCCTGGAGATGGTTAGCTAACATAAATCACAATACTAGGCCGGGCAAGGAGTATTACAGATCCATTGTAACCCTTCTGAAGGCAGGCAGGAGTTTGGAGGAAAACCTCTTCTGGGAACTTGACTCAGAAATACCTTTTCACTTCAGCTATAGGCTACCGCGCAATGCAACTAACCGACTACTCGTCAGAGTCACGATGGCATCTGGCCGCACTCATCACAACATATGAAATAACAATAGTATTAGTGATATTACCTTCTAATTTTTTTTCAGTTGAGTTTTCGTCCAAATCCTCTGGTCTGTCTAGGCACTGGCCTCAACCTCGTGCTGTGGCATCCTCTGAACAGTAGCACGGCACATCCAAGGGCCTCTCGGGAGTGTTGCTGGCTTTGCGCCCAGACTCTGTAGCTCCAGATGCTGGGCAGAGATGCTCTTGGTGGGTTGGTCCTCAGTGGACCCCAGTTCCTAAGAACACACATTCAGTAGTGCAGAAAGGGGGCTATTCGTGTTGAGATCCTATTTCACCTTGTGTTCTTCTCTGCTTTGATTTTCACGCCACCATATTTTTGGGGCTGGTTAGGAAAGATGGAGGAAGAAAACTAGAGCCACACTCAGCATTCCAGAGGTGAGTTCATCCTTGCTCAGGACTGCCTACCTCTGTGTGCGGCTGGGAGAAGTATTGGATTCAGTTTTCATACCTCTGCAAGACAAGCTGCACAAATATCTTCCTGATTGGGCCAGAGCACAGTTCCTTCATCTCTTGACTAAGAAAGCCAAATACCAGGCAAATTTGGGATCACAGACAGGAATACAAATACCTTTTCTGGCCACCTGGTAGCAGGCAAATCAACAAAAAGGGGGACAGCGTGGCCAGCTTGCTTAGCCCCACAATCCAAAGCAAGTTCAGCTTCCCAGGAAATGCCATTTCCTCAGGGCCTGAGAGGAGCTCATCTTCAAAATGAGGCACCAACACCAGAAGTGTCTTCTAGCACCTCTCAGATGGAACAGCGGAGCCCTTCCCAGTACCTGTGCTACTCAATGGTTGCTCCACAGTCGGATAATAGCAAGTGTCTTGGGATGGTCACAAGAAGGAGCAGACAGACCCGGATGGTCCAAGAGCTCCAGGAGTTAGTAAGCCTAAACACAGAACTAGGAAGGAGGCAGAAACAGAAAGGTCTCTCTGGTGAGAGCTCACCACCCCTGCGCCACCCCGTGTCTAGAAGCAGCAGGTATGCAGTAGGTGCTTCTGTGCTCCCCTCTGCCCTCAGTGGCCAAGGGCCAGCTCAACACGATGCTGGTGGTGTTCCTTGGGAGCTCATGGTTAAAAATAAGTTGAGTGATTCTCAAGGGGTCATTATGTTCCTTATGACATTAAGAAGAATATCAAGAAAACATTAGAGAAAAAAGTGGAGGTGGGAATACACAGTTGATTGCAATGTCTGCAGAACACGAGTGATGTTGTCACTGGCCATCCAGCCCCTCTCCACGTAGGCCCAGGCCTTGTGTCTGCCGTTGTCTGACCTTCAGGTCACACAGGCTGCGCACCCTCATGAATACAACTCTTCTCCCTTCACCCCATCCCTCTGCAGCCTGGCTCTGGAGACCAACTTCCATAATCAGACACAATCCAAACTGCATATAAATTATTTAATGTTCTTTAAAGAAAGAGGTCTGACTCCTTCTGCTAACCCAAAATAAAATAAAATACTACCCCTATGTAAGGTTGGGGCTGATATGTATCTCTATGAAGCCAATCTAGTTTTCGGCAAAACACAGTTTTAAGGATCCAGTAGTCTAAGGCATTTTGTATATAGTTAGAGATTTCACAGTATTAACTATGCATATATTTAAAGTATAAAATACCCAGCTAATGTTTGAATTTGTCTTTTTTTTTCTCTAGCTATTTAACTATACCATTTTTTTAAGCTGGGGCATTAACTCATTTAATAGAAGATGCCTAGGTTTTATAAAAGAACCAGCATTCATTGAATAAAGACACTCCAAACGATGACTACTTGATTTTCCTGAGACCTGTAACTGTGTTGATAAAAATAACATGCCTCGCTTTCAAGCCTTCATAAATGTAAAACGGCTTTTCATGAAGATAGAGCTGAGCAATTCCTCACGACTCTGGAGCAATTACGCATTTGTTTCTTGGTATTGATTAGAATTGACTGATTTCAAATAAAAGTGGTTTATTTTCAAATAGGATGATCATCAGTCTTCTTATTTGAGGTGGAGATTGCCTATGCTGCTTCAAATGACATCTGAACTATTTTTTCCAAATAAAGTTTATTATTTTCCCACTATGCAATATGCTTGGTTTTCTTAAAAGTAGGAAAATGCAGGGGGAAAAAGCAAAGAAAAAGGAGAAAAGCTCAGGAAGCAACAATCCAAACCACTGCTATTTTTTTTTTTTTTGTACAGGGTCTCACTATGCAGCTTGGACTCAGTGATCCTCCAGTCTCAGCCACTCCAGCGCTGGGATCGAACCCTGGTCCTTGCCCTTGCCAGGCAGGTGCTTAGATTGCTGAGCTATCTCTACAGCCCTTCCTGATGCTTTGAAGCAGAAGCAAAACATAGAATTGTCTCTTTAACTAAAACATGAGGAAGCTAAAAAAAAAAAAAAAAGGAAAAATTCCTTCTTGTTGGCAATAAAAGTATAACCATTGTAGACCAAACCTAAGAGGTCCTGGGCCTGCTAGCATAGTTTCAAGAGCTTTAGGACATATTGGGGAAGGGCTGAGGAAGGTGGTAAGGGGGGAGGAGCACTCTTTGACTTGTAGCTTCAGAAACATTGTGTTCACAAGTATTGGGCTTGCGCTGAGCTGCCCTCTACCAGAAAGCTCCCCTAGAAGTTCTACAGTGCATGGAGTTCCTGTTTACCAAGTGAGGTCAGACTGTTCCCAGAGGGATGCTGGGTGTGGTGGAGTCAAGAGATGGATGGTGAGTGGGCCTGCTTGGTGCTGGGATTCAGCAGTGTGATATAGGTAGATGCAACAAGGAAATCCATAAAAACCCAAGACTATATTTCTAGCATGAATGGTCTCCAAAGTACTAGGGCTACTAAAATAAAACGCAAGAGACAGGCAAATCTCCAGCCTTCAATCCTAGATTAACGAATGGTGGAAGGAGATTTTATTCCGCTGGAACCAGGGGCTTGTGGGAAATGGCAGTCTCCGATCTTTTCTTTGGTCCCACCACATTCTTACAAGTTGCACAGCTCTGTGAGCACCTGCCTTAATGAATGGCCAGTAGTTCTCCAATTCTGCAAAGATACAAACCAAGATGGCCCTGACTCTCTGGCGCTGAGTTTATCAAGATGCTGGGTAACTGGGAAGTAAAGACTGGGAGGGAGGTGATGACAGTGAGGGATCATGAGACTGAGCCACTACATAAGAAAGACCACAGCAGGGCCAAGTTCAACATCTGAAAGAGACACAGAGCCCGTGAGCTATCCTGTGGTTATTTAATTCTAGAAAAGGGAGCTACGGCAGAGTGCTGAGGAGGATAATGAAAGGAGCAGTTAAAATGTAAACTGCCCACTAGAGACTATTTTAAAATGCATTTTTGGAGTACCTTATAGGGAAATCCAAAGTCAATAATAAAAGGCCCCATAAATGCACCAAGGCAGAAAGCCAACCACACAATCAAGGTAACCACTTGACCCAGGGCTGCCCTGGGAGATGAAGTGGAGAAAACGTGGAGGGGTAGGGGGCTTTTCTTTTTGGCTCAGTAAAGATGAAGAAAGGCAACATGGATATTCTCGCTTCCGTTTTTGAAAGATGCTGTTTATAAACACAGACCCAAACACAAACAGGCCTGATAGACTAGGTGCCATAAGGACACCAGAAGTGGCCTGGGAGTGGAGCCACTGGATAAAACACACAGGTGCAAGAAACAGGGGCACAAGCATCCCTAAATGTGATAGTCAGGTGCCCTGAACAGGCAACAAGTCGAAAGTGTGCACACAGACTAGTGAATTCTGACCCATCCTTAGCAGCCAAAGCTTTGATGTTCTGGAGTGTGGCCACTGGGACCCAAGTCAGCAGCCATGTGCTGTGCTTCTGACAACAGCCTCAGCCACGACACAGCAAACCTAACCCCTTCTGGTCACTCCAGACTGCAGATCCAACTGCCACACCACGAGGAGGAGGGTTCGTGGTAGCCACCATGGTGAGTCCAACCACAGGCCCTCATGATAGACAGCACATGTTTACATTCTTGCAAGCTCTTCCCACATCTCTGCAATGCAATGTGTTTTATTTGCAGGTGAGATGTGGGGTCCATAGGTGCGGGGTGAGTTGTTCATGTTTATAAGCCAGCTAAGAGCTAGCATTCCTACTGAAAGACCGATAGCAAGACTAAAGCAGAAGGCCGTTGTCCTCAGACAGAAAGGCAGAGGTTGTTCTATGCTCAAAGCCAAAGTGGTAAGAAGTGCCAGGAGCTACCCAACACAGAGAATGGGAACCAGGCAGTGTACTGTATGGGGGACCTTGAAAGGCAAAGATTAAGCACACTGCACAAAGTGCTGTACCTTGCGGTCTGTTCTGCGTAAGCACAGGAGGAGTGTCCTTGCTCTGCATACACTCCGAGACATCATTTCCATTGTACAGATGTGTTGCTATTTATTTATCAGTGTTTTTAGTTGAGAAGGAAAATCATGTCCCACATAAAAGTCATCCAGTGAAGCGTTTCAATGAAAAGTGACAATTTTCCTACACACACATTCTCACATTCATCTCAGAAGCCACCGCAGCAAACACAGTATTCTTGCACAGTATCTATTTGCAGAAATTTCCCATGCATAAACACACACGAAGATTCGGATGAGAGGACCTGTGCGTGCTCTTTTTCAGTAAGAACATAGGCCATGTAGGGGAATACCTGGATGCATCATGTTTATTTTTTATTTATTTATTTAATTTTATTTTATTTTCATATTTTAGGCAAGGGTCTACAGGGTGTTCAGGGTCTCACTACTAGATTGGGCTCAGTGATCCACCTGTTTACAGCCTCCCAAGAGCTGGGATTACACGTGTGCGCCACCACGCCCAGTCTCAAAACCATCTCAGCGCCCCCTGGGGGCGGGGCTGGCACAGCAGCACCGGAAATAGCACTCCTAGCCCCTGTGCCTGCTTGCAGGTGCTTTCATGTCTATTTTTTTTTTTTTTTAAATGGGAGCACAATGTTTTAATCTTGAGGGTTTTTTTTTTTAAAACTAAATATCTCTCGGGAGCTTTTCATGTCAATGCATGCTTTATATTCTCTGTAATAGCTGCGTTGTGCTTCACCGCATGGCTGAAACTTAGCTCACTTAACTGCTCGACTTTGAATACACTGTCAAGCCACTTCCGGTCTTCACTCCTGAAGTAAGGCTATGGCCACCATCCTAGCACATATCTCTGATCGAGTCTAAGAAAATATGCTCAGGAGAGGTTCTTGAAAGTGCAATTACCAGAACCCAGGGGGATGCGCTTAATTTATGGAAACATAGTTTCAGTAGAAAATTTATTTCCATGGTTCAAAATTAAAATACTCCACTAAAATAAAAATCAGGAAGCCTGCCTATCCCGATCATTGTACCTCCTTAACTCCCAGGGAATGATTCAATCATTTCTTCTGAAGCCCTCCTGATTGCTCTTTATGCAGTTGGGATGCAGGGACATGCACCCAGGCACCTGGCTCCTCTTCTTGTGCCCAAAGTGTACATGTTGTAATCTTGTTCTTCATCTCATGTGTTTTGCTATGTGCACCCTAGAGATCTTGAACTGGATGTGTTCCCCAAATTCATACTGAGACCTAACACCCAATGTGATGGTATTAGAGCCTCAGGAGTGAAATAACTGCCCCAATAAGAATAGACAAAAGAGAAATGATCTTTCTGCTGTCCGCTGTTTGAGGACACAGAGAGGAGGAGGAGGAGGCTCTCATGAGACACCAGCAACTTGATCTTGGGCTTCAAAGTCTCTAGAACCATTCAAACTACATTTCTGTTGGTCATAAGCCACTCAGTTTACACCATTTTGTTATCAACGCCAAAACAGACCTGGACAGATCTCTCCATACAAACATGTGGGGACAATACCCATCATTTTTCACAGCTGCATGCTACTTCCCTGCACTATTTAATTTGTCCATTTCAAAGGGACACTAAAGCTATTTCTAAGTTTCTGCTATTGAACAGTATATTTCTTACACTGTACCAGATTGTCTCTCTTTAGAACAATAGTCCAAAAGCCATTCTTTCTTTTACAGGGTAAGCTCTAAGCTGAAGAGGCAAGCTCCTACCTCACTCCAGGGATTCATATGCAAAGCAGAGAAGCAGCTTCTATTTCCAATACGCCTGCGTGTTACAGCTTGAACTTTGACCCCTAAGCAGACACATTCAAGTTCTATGTCTCTGGTTTTATTGAGGAGCAGAGTTTTTCAGGTAATCAGGCTTAGATGAGGTCAGTTTGACTGGTGTCTTTATAAAAGGAGGGAGCCTCAGACACAGACAGCAGAGGCCGCATGAGCACAGCAGTGGAGATTGTAGTTGTGTTACTATAAACCAAAGGCCAGAAACTCGGGGCCACCAGAAGCTAGGAGAGCAGTGTTTCTCTCTCAGGAGCTTTGGGAATGCAGGGACTGATGATGCCTCGCTTCTGGGTATCTAGCAGTGACACTGCTGGGGAAGTAGCTTTGTGCTTCGTGAAGGTTGGATCTACTCATGGAGCTGCAGGAAACTGACCTCCTGCCATCGTTTGTGACCAGTCATCCCGCATCCACCCCTTCTGCACACTCCTAGTTCAAACAGGTGTCACTGAAGCACTGCCTCTGCCTCCAAGGTGCCACACAGCATCCTGTGCCCCGAAGCTTGAGACCCCATGGAAGGTCTACGCCACACTGTAGCATTGCTTACAAGGTGCACTAAACAATCCGGCGGTGGGTCTGCGAGATAGCTCAGCAGACTAAAGCACCTGCTTAGGCAAGCTTAGGCAAGTGCAGGAAGCACAGTTTGATCCCTGGCACCACATGCTATGCCAGCTTTGCCCCCAGGGTAGACTAAGCCAGCCAGAGTCCAGGTGTAGTGGCACATGCCTGTAATCCCAGAGCTGAGGAGGCAAAGCAGGAGGATCACCATGAGTCCAAGCTGCATAGTGAGACCCTGCGAAAGGCAAATAGATTTTTAAAAAATCCAGTGGGTGTTTAAATCTAAAAAAGTACTGCAGTAAAGGACGTCCTGCCAGGATTCCCTCCTCAAAGCCCTTCCGCTCACTTTGAGCACACTTACGGTTCTTGCACTTTCTGGAGCAGCTCTGGAAGA